AAAAAAAAAAAAAAAACAAAAAAAAAAAAAAAAAAAGGAATACCGGGGCCGGCCCGGGGCTCACTCAGGAGAGTGTGGTGCTGACAACACCAAGCCAAGGGTTAAGATCCCCTTACTGGTCATCTTTTTTTTTTTATAAAAAAAAAAAAAAAAAAAAAAAGGAATACCAACTTTCTCCAAAGTTCTGCTCCCATAAGATCTCTATCTAAGCAATACAGGTCTCCTGTAAAGAGTAAGACAAATCTAAACAAATGCAGAAAGAACTCCAAATACTGAGGTGTTACACAAAGGTGCTGGTCTTTCCACAGGTGTGCTTAACTCTGAGAAACTACTCAGCCAAAGCATCACAAAGTTGGGTTACTACTCAAGTTACTCTTTTGGGTGACACACACCCTCAAGATCTGGCTAACCAAAGTTATCAAAGAACCTGGGATACTTTTCATAATGGGATAGAATTTTAACCTGGATGCTCTTAGCAGTTAGACTGGGAAGATTAAAAAAAAAAAAGCAACTTGAAAATTACTTCCTGTCTGTTTGTCCCACCATTATAACTTGGTGATTTCTTGTAGATAACTTGTTTTGATTACACAGACGGGACTCTGAACTTTGGACTTTTGAGTTGGAACAAATTAAGACTTTGGGGATGAAATGAATGTATTTGTATGTGAAAAACACATGAGTTTGGGGGGCCAGGGGTGGAATGCCTTAGGTTGAAGGTCCCCCAAAACTTAATCCCCACTGTAACTACTGAGGGTGGGAAATCCTATTATGGTAATTGAAAGGTGGAACCTTGAAGAGGTGATTAGATTGTAGGACCATGCCACTGTAAATGGATTAAAAATGGTGGCCATGAGCATGGTTTGGAGGGCTTTAAAAGGAGAGTAAATGAAGAGGTTAGTATCTCCTCTGCTCCACCATTTTCTGCAATATGAGACCACTGGGTCACTGTCGCCACCACCAAGACCTTCACCAGATATATTCCCTGCACTGTGGACTTCCCAGCCTCTGAAACTGTAAGCAATAAATTTTGTTTTCTTTATAAATTACCCAGTTCTGTGTATTTTGTCATAAGCAACAGAAATGGACTAACACACTGTCTTTCAGGGCAATTCCCAGGAACTGAGCAGGAAACTGTTTTGAGCACTGCTCAGGCCAACCATCAATTTTTAAGGCTCTCCTTAGAATAATTCCTCCCTCCTGAACAGAATACTTCCAGAGATGTTTTAAAACACGGGAACACTGTTTACAGACTACAAAGTTGTCTCAAACATCAACTGCAACAGCATTTTCTCTCTAGTATGGCATCAACAACAATCTAGGTTCCTTAGTTTGAATATAACCCTATTTATCCATACTTGTGTGGACTGACATTTGGGTTATTTCCAGTTATGAGCTATTATGAATAAGACTGCTATGGACATGCATGTACATATCTTTCAGTATATCTAAGAAAATTATAAAAATAAGTAAGGTATACACCAGAAGTAAAATTGCTGGGTAATAGGGTATAGGTATGTTTAGCTTCAGTAGATTTTTAGTTTTTCAAAGTGGTTGTACTATTTATACTCCTAGAGTAGTGTATAAGAGTTCCAAATGTTCCACATCCTTATCAACACTTAGTATTGTCAGTCTTTTCACTTTTAGTCACTCTAGTGGAAGTTGGTTTGTTTGAAGACTCTATAATAACTAGGAAAATAAACCTTTCTGAATTATCAAAAAGTCAGTATAGCAATTACTTTTAGTGGGGAGGGGAGTGAGGCAAAGGGGATCCATGGGGTTCTGGTTATATTCTATTCTTACTCTCAGTGGTGATTACAAGGGTATTTAAAAATATTATTGAAGAAATATCATGATTTGTAAGAATGAATATGCTAATAAATAAATTTAAATAAAAGAAAAATTATTGGTAAACTATAACTGAATTAAGTGATACTTTGCAATTTTTTATTTTTATCTTTTTTTTCTTCTTTTTTCTAAGATAAATATTGTAGAACTTTGCAATTTTTGAAAATGGGAGGAGGGAAAGAATCTGTCTGGAAGCCTAGTCTTCCCTACCTCCAAAAGTCTCTGAAATTAAACGTTTACAAAACATTACAGGGAAAGCTCAAAGAAAATTCAAATTCACCTTAAAATCACTTGGACTGTGTTAAAACAATTTCCACGGTATGAAAACATAGGCTTTGTATCATTATTCACCCATTCAACAAATATTTTCTGCATTTACTACCCCTCACTTTAGTTTCAACAAACTCTTCAGTCCCTAGTCTCTACCTTTACATAATAATTATCATTATCATTTATTAAGCACCTACTATATGACCAGTACTATGCTATATACACTATGCTTAATCCTAACATCCTTGAAAACTAGGTAGTATTATCCACATTTTATAGATGAAGCAATTTAGGCTCAGAGAGGCTAGGATCTTGCCAATGTCATACAGCTAAGAGGTGGCAGGGAAAGATGTGAAGCCCTTCCCTTCTCTCTCTTAACCAGGTCTTATCTCTCTACCCAGGTCTTTCTTTACACCAAAACTTTATCTGTGCCCACCTCACCATACTGCCTCTCAGATATGAAAATGTTACGAATCCCAATCCCACAGAAAAATCCAACAACTGTAGAGAAGATAATCCAAGTAATCCCATATTCCAGCTTTGAACTTGTCAACAGTTTGAAACAAAATAAGGTTTCTTCTCAGAGCAACAATTACTGCAGGAAAAAGGAAAAACCATGCTTTTCTGTAGGCAAACTGGACCTGATATATGTCCCTCACCTTATACCAGCACCACCACTATCTAGCTCCTAGTTGCCATTCCTCATTGCTCCCCCCATCTGTACTCAGCAACTACATGAAACAGCAGGATGAAGGAAAAGAGACATGCTGTCTGTAATCTACTACTCATCCTCCCATCAGGAAACCCCTCAAGTAACTACCAGCAATCTCTAATATAGAAGGACAAAAAAGGGGGGGGAGAATGTATGTGTTGAGGCCATGAATTCATGTGTGCATGTACTGAAAGTGGAAAATGAAATGAGGCATAGTAAAGAGAATAAAGTCATCTCGACTCTCACTATCCCCTCCAAGTTCACCCCCTCTTGTTCACATCCTAGTTCCTTACCTCCCCTAAATCTCTGATCCCACTGATCATGTACCAGTGTCCGGAAGACCCCATCCTGTAGGGGTCCCACCTACAAGCTACAGAAACTATCAATGCTCTATAGATGAAGGAGTTCCCACTTCTGCTCTTTCACAGGTACGAGAAAAGGTAGACCAATTAGCATATCTGCTACCAGTTCCAAACTGGAACTCTGCATGCATTTTCCCAGAGTTATCATTATAAAGGATAATTGGGTTCTAAGATATTATTAATATGGCCTTACATATATGATGAATTATAAGCTTTTGTGGGATTGATGTGAGATCCTACAAAACATCCATAACATGGTTTCTATGCAAAAGTGTACCGGGCTCCAAAGAACTGATTAATAAAAGAATTTTTAGAAATCAAATTGTTGTATGTTCGGCACTATGTTAGACTCACTAGCCCTAACCTCTGGGGCTGCTATTTATTTCTTATCTTTTGGAAAGAAAAGAAAATACTAAATGACCAGCAGTCTGCTATATGCTCTTAATTTCTAAATGCACATTTTAAGAAATATTCAATTTATTAATCTGTAGTATGCTAGAAATGGTCTTTTCAGTAACTTCCATGATTGATATGACATTAAAGAGGTCATGTTCACCTTTCCTTTTGAGAAATCACATATCCATCTAGGACTCTGAGGTTTAAGCACCAGCTGACGATGTACGGCCGATAGTCAAACCCTGGAATGGATGGTGTTGCCATCACACAAGGATTGTTCATGATCGACAACTGTTCCAATTCAGTTAAAGATGACAAAAAAGAGACCTGGAACAAAGAATATCTTTGTTGACCAAAATGGACTATTCAGTGTCAAGCACAGGACTTCTGCTGATTACACATCTTTGGCAGCATTTTAGAATATAACAATTTCTCTCTTGTTCTGTAAAAGGATCTTCTATTATCCACTGACTTCCAAAATTCCAACAATATGGCCATCTTTCCCTGCTACACAAAGTCCCTTCGAAAGTATCAGCAAGCACTGTTTCCTAGCAGAGAGAACCTTACTTTGAAAACATAATAGTAGGCAGGGAAAGGTAGACAGGGTGCCTTAAAAGCCCCTGTGATATAGATGTCCCTCTACCACCAATCGCTTCCCAATGGAATGCTAATTTGAGCATTACAAATAAAATTAAGCCTTAATAACCCACTGACATGAAGGAAAACTAGAAAGAAAAATAGTGATAATCTAGAGCCAAGTGTTTCATCTCGATGGCAGTTTCTTCAAAGATGCTCACAGTCTAAAAGTGAGTTCACAACTCTCTCTTTCGTCTCTCCTGGACTTTCCAGATTCTTGGATCTCGTAAAATACTCTCAAATTTTACCTCATTTAAGTCCCGGATTTCATTTTCTGCCAAAGAAAGTATAGCAAGACTTCTGGGTAGATAAGCAGGTGCCATTCTAAGAGAGGTGATGATGTTTCCATGTAAAAGCAGGGTCTTGAAAGTAAAAACAGCATGACTTACAAATGAAAAGATTATAAATTGGTCTTTTTGACAATATCAAAATGATGAATACAAGAATAAAGGGATTGTAGTGGATTGAATTATGTCCCCCCAACACTCACTGAAGCTTGAATTGTATTCCCCAAGTTTTATGTATTAGAAACTTAGCCCCCTCTGTGAATGTTAAGAGGGTGGGAAATCCTATTACGGTAATTGAAAGGTGGGGCCTTGAAGAGGTGATTGGATTGTAGGACCATGCAGTAGGGAATGGATTAATAATGGTGGTCAGGGCTATGGTTTGGAGGGCTTTACAATGAGAGCGCAAGACGAAGTTAGCTCTCCCTGCTCTCTCTGCTCCGCCATTTCACAATGTGATACCCTGCCATCACTGTCACCACCAAAGAAAGATTTCACCAGATGTGTTCCCTGGATCTGGGACTTCCTAGCCTCTGAAACTGTAAGCAATAAATTTTTTGTTTTCTTTACAAATTACACAGTTTCAAGTATTTTGCTATAAGCAACATAAACGGACTAATACAGGGATCTATTATACTTCCCCTCACACACAAATAAAAGATTGTTAATTCTAGAAAAGTCTTAGATGCTCTTTTGGTCCAACTCTCTCTTTTCATGTCAATGCCCTTAGCTCAAGAAAGTTTAAAGACTTTTCCAAGAAATACATGTTTGATATAGCAACTAGCATGCTGTGAAATTTAAGTTATTAGACATTGGCAATTTCCAACACACTTGTTCATCTACTTTTAAAACATCAAAACATAGGTGAGAAAGATGAAAAAAAAAAGTCACTAAAACAATCGTGTATAAAGCAAATTTTCCAAGAGAGAGAGAGAACCCCCAACCCATAATTGGCAAGTCTAAAAGCTAGAGGGGGCTGGCCGGTTAGCTCAGTTGGTTAGAGCACAGTGTTTTAACACCAAGGTGAAGGGTTCAGATCCCAGTACCAGCCAGCTGCCAAAAAATAAAAACAAAAAAAATAAAAGCTGGAGGAAGGTAGAATGTGCTACTTGCAGATGAAGCTGACTCACATCAACTCAGCAACAATCAAGTATAAACTTAAGATTCTGAACACTCAGGAGTCTGATGAGATAATCATGCTTCCATACAAGGGAAAAAACCCAAAACGTTCACTCATCTTTTGTTCATTTGAATTCTCTTAGCATCTATGAGGACAACATCAAACTAAATCACCTACCTTCAGGGAAACCAATTTAGATAGATCACCTATCTGGGGTATGTTATTGTCTGATAAATCGAGGTGCTGTAGAGATGTGCAGTTATTGATTTGTTCCACAGCCTATCACAAGAAAAGCATCACATTATTTAATGCACGCAAAATGAAAAGATAAAATTCTTCTCTAGTTCCTTGCTGCTGAGTCTCCTATCTCTTCTCCTTATTACTGGAAGCAGAGCAGCAGAGCTTAGCAAAAGAAAAGGGAGGCAGTGTTCACAGAATTTAATAAATTGTCATGCTGCAAGCTTCTACTTTCATTATCCCTTTTAGAGGGGTACCAAGCTGTTCATAACATCCCAAATATTTACAGCTTAAAGAAACCTTAGTGATGACATAGGACAGTTGTTATAGAACAGTGTTTGCAAGTTAAGAGTGAAGCCAAACAGCTGGGATTTAAATCCTGGCTCTGCAACTTCCCAGCTGTGTGACCTTGAGCAAGTTATTTAACTTCTCTGTGCTTCAGTTTCCTCAACTACACCTACCTCATAGCTGTCATAAGATTGAATGAGTTAACACAGATAAGGTGCTTACAGTAGTATCTAACAAGTTAATTGCTCAATAGAAGGCAGCTATTAATATCACTTAGGGCATGGTGCTGATAACAAACAAGGTCGAGGTTTTGATCCCTGTAACAGTCAGCTGCCAAAACAAACAAAAAGATGGTATCATTTAATCTAGTACCCTCACCTAGCATACCAAAAAAATAAGATAGAGATATTTATTAACTTACCCAAGAGTATATAATTACTAAGTGGTGGAAATAGAACTAGAATCCAGATATCCTGACTTTTGAAACAGTATATTCTATACGAATAAATGAAATTTTTAAAAACCAGTATATTCTCCATTATACCATTAATTCAGCATGATAGTCTCCCTCCTGACCATTCTACTGCTTGACCTACTTTTTTCTAAGTATATATAGATTCTTTATTCATATTTAAAAGAATATCATACTGTATTATGTGTTTCAAAATGAGATTTTTTTTTTTTTTTAGTTTATGTTAACAGAGATTATCCCTGGGGAGTAGGTATGAAAGTTTTTATTCTACTTATTTCCATACTGCTTGAATTTCCTTTTTACAGAGAAGAGTTTTGTATAATTTAAAAAAACCAAAACATAATTACTAATAATAAACAATTCACCTTGAGATTATTTCCTGCCAAATTCAACCATTCCAAATGTATTAGTTCCTTTAGCCCTTCCACATAGCCAATGCTATTATGGGGCAAATTTAAAACACGAAGTTGCGTGAGTTTGGCCACACCCATCATCCGTACCAGCCGATTATTAGCCACTGACAACTGTGGAAAGGAAACATATCATTATTCTTAAGAACAAAACATACATATATATATACTTTCACAGTAAGGTGATTGTAAGGTTTGTTTAGATGGTCAAATGTGACCAAATATACAAATCTAATTTGTACTTTTCACATTGTCTAAATATTCTACAGTTAAACTATCGGGGTTTTTTTTGTTGTTGTTCCTAAGCATTAGAAAATACTGTTAAAGCTAAGCAACCCACAGCAGCAACTTGAGAATGTACGCTCCACAAGAGCAGGGTCCTTATACTGTCGCAGTCAAAACCTAGAACAGTGTCAGACATGTTAAGAGGGACCCAGTAAACATTTTTTGAATGAGTAGATGAATAAATGAATGAACTCTTTACTCCCATCATGAGGTAAAAGGTTATCTTAGCAACACAATATTTTGCCAATATAAAATGCTTTCTTTTTTTAAACAATGCTTCTTTTTCTAATCTATTCTAAATGTAACACATATGTGTTCACCTTCAGGAGAAACTGTCATGTGAAAATTTAAGGCAACATTTACTGCTTTCTAGGTCTGCACAGTCACTTTTTGTCAGGTTATTTTATTGTTTTATTTTGTTTAAAAATAAATTGGTCTTATGTAACTATTTCCCAGATAGTAATACCCACCTGTATTAATCGTCTGCATTTCTCCAGATTTTCCAATTTAATAATCTGGTTTTTATCCAGAATCAAAGTGTGAATATCAGCTTCACAGAGTAAATTTGGACCTAATTTCTGTAGTCCCTGCCCTGACCAATTGACCACTGATCCTTGAAAAGAGAAGGGAATTTGTTAGAAAACACAAATAAAACAAATACAACAGCTAAGAATAGGGATGGAATTATACTCAGAAAATCTCTACATGTTTCAAGTTAGAAAACACTAAAGCAAAATAAATATCAAGATTTTAAAACTAAAGCAATCTTGAGTCCTAAATTGCCACAGATTGAATTACTCGCTTTTCCTTAGAAATATCAAATTACAACTATATTTGTGATATTCAACTCAAGTTTCTATGATATAATACTTTGGAATCCTTCATACTTAGTATTAACTATTATTTCCATATTTGTACCTAAGTAATGACAGCATTTTTTAAACGGAACTAAACTTTTGATAGAGGTCAACCTGCTTACAACCTAACTACCAGTATGTCCAAAAGTGCCCAAACGATTTTAAAAATCAAAACATAGTTCAATTACCTCATCTATAAGATAGAATAATACACCTATTCACTAGGTTGATGTCGGAATTAAAAGAGAAACCATATGAACAGCCACTCAATAAAGCACTTCAACAGAACAGATGTTCAAATCCTGGCTCCACCAGTTAACCACTGTGATATCTTGGGGAAGTTGCTGATCACTTATGGCCTAATTTTTCTATTCTGTAAAATGGAGACAGATGATAATCCCTGCCTTGTAAATGTTGTTCTACAGAGAAAATGAGATAATGTAAGAAAGCACTGAGAACATCGCTGACTCATAAAAAAAATTAAAAAATTTTAAAAAAGTGCCCTATAAATGTTAATTGTTATTATTAAGAGTTAAGTTAGGGGGCTAGAAAGTTGGAGCTTAATCGAAGCAGATATCACAGGGGGCGGGGCCAGACCGTCAATTTCAAATTTATACTCAGATTATGGCTACTAATGGAAATAATTATGCGATATTGGCAAGATTGCTGGAGGGTTTCATCGTTTTTCCATTGTCTAACGGCTCTTAGCATGTGTGGGGTCGTGGACTACCCGAAAACTTGATAAAAGCTGTGTACTGTCCCAGAAAACTGCACATCCTTTGCACACAATTCCAAGTGGCTGAGAGGTCTCTTAGAACCATTCATCAACTTCTTCCCTAAGAATTTAAGGCTCCCAGAAAATGAGCCCCTGGTCTAAGCCTTGAAGTCGGGCCTCGACCCCTAGCCCTGCCCCCAATCCAAACGGCTGCTGCCCTGCCTCGGAACCGTAACCAAAACAAAAGGAGCTCACGTCCTGCGCCCCAGAGAGATATTTCTCGGGTCCAGTAGTACCCACACCCCGCGCTCTGCTGGGCAGCGACGAAACCCGATTCCGGAACGAGGAGTGGAGGACTGTGGACTCTGTCTGGATCACCCCCAGATTTTATCAGGGCCACCGGCCACTTCAAAGGAAGGGTTCAAAGTCAGTGTAGGGAGCGGTGTCTGAGGAAAGGTTTCCTGAACGTTCTAGGAACCTAGGGTAAAGGAGGATGGACAAGGCGAAAGAGGGAGATCCTGCATATTTCACTTGGGCACCTGGAACTCAAAGCAGATGTCCAAGAGGGTCACCGCAGCCTGAAAGCCTCCACCCAGCTAGCCCCCCGGAGCGCGGGAGTCGGGGAGTCGGACCGCGCAAAGGCCCGGGTGTTGTAGTCCCCGGCTCGGCCATCGCCGCGACGCCCGAGACCTGGGCAACGCATGGGGACTACAACTCCCAGAGGGTAGCGCGCATTCGCGACGCCCACAGCTCAGCATCAAAAGAACTGGTCCAAAATTAAAACTCTAAATCCAGGCTTTTCCTATCCACCAGGCAACTATTTAGTTCAGCTCCATGGGGTAAACCTTGGGACTCAGAGATGGGATCGCCTTACCTTCTCCGGGAGGAAAAGCCGCGTCGTCGCGCGCCACCGCCATACTTGCCGCTTGCTAATAATACCAAGCAACCGTCCGCCAGCGGCTCTATCGAGCTTGTAGTCTGGAGAAGGGAGCCGGAAACTACGACTCCCAGGATGCACCCAGAAATGCCCAATTGGCTGCCTACTCCTAATGATGTGAAACCGGAGTTAGAATCTGCGCGGAAAAGAGAAAAGAAAAAAATCTGAGCGGTAGTGAGCTCCTCAACCCCCTTATTTGACAGATGAGCAAACTAACTGCGTTGTTAGGTGATAATTTCACTCCCTTGTCCAGGCGAAATTTTATTCTTTTATCATAGGGATGATTATAAGGACGCTACTAAATCCACATCGAATTTGAGAGCTCACTGTTCTCTGTAGGGGCTGCCCCTTCTTTTGACAATTCTGAATACGTCGAAAGTTTTCAACTCTGGTATAAGAATGATTTGAGCGATCTTGATGAGATGGTGAAAATGAATATATTTTATTTGAAATTTTGGTGAAGTATTTAGGCCTGGCCGGTTAGTTCAGTTGGTTAGAGAGCGGTGTATAACACCAAGGTCAAGGTTTGGATCCCTATACTGGTCAGCTGCCAAAACAAAAAAGTTAAAACATGCTGAAATAGAAACTTTCATACAGTATTCTTAAGTGGTTGTTCTCGAATATTTAACAGAACTTTTGACTTGGGAGTATAATAAGTATGAACCCAGAATTTTTCCAGAGAGTATTCAAAGGAATAACATATAGTCTGCACACTCAAGAGTTACATTGCCTAGTTGCAGGGAGTAAGCCCGCACTTTTGACATAACTATTACACGCTAAGTGGTGTTATGGTAACTATGAACTCAATAAGATTTCAGGAAATGGAAACTATAACCTTAAGGAAAGACTTGCTGGAGGAAGTCAAATGGAGCTAGGGCTTAAAAGAAGGGTAGACTAAACAGTTCAGAATAGGTGAAAAGACATTATTAGCACAGTCCGCAGATGGAGGCAGGTGGTAATGAGGCTGCAGTCACAGGTGAGAAACTAACCTGATAGTACCACAGAATATTCAAAGGGAGCTTCCACTTACTGTTACCAACTCCCCCATTTCCTCTTGCAATCTTTATTCTGAATGCCAGCCAGTTTTTCTGAAACAGCAATCTCCAAAGTCTCTGATAATTTCTGTTTAGGAAAATCCAGTAACTCACACTGAGACTAGCAGGCACTAGATTCTTTGAGCATTCCCTCTTTTCTGGGTTCTCCTATCTGCCCGACTGCACTTGCCTTAACTCCTTTTCTGTTTCCTAAGAGAGAATTAAGAGTATGATTTTTTTTCCCTCTAACCAAGAGTCCTAGAGAAAAGTCTTATTGTATGTGTAAGAACAAAGCAAGCCTGAATACTGTCTCCTACTAACTCTCGTTCACTGGAATAGGGTGTGCGGATTGAGGAGAGGGAGAAAGAGTTTACAGTTCTTTCCAATTTAGCATGGTAATGACTTGGGAAGGGGATCCTGGAAGTTCAGAGGATACTTGAGGAGCACAGGTTTCTGCAAGTTTACAGCAACAGCTTAAACAGAATCTTGTCTGGTTCATATGCCCTGGGATCCTGAGGAAACGGCCAAAGGACTCCTTTTATGGGGATAACTAAGCATAGTCATGGCTGTTAAAGAGAGGGGCAAAATGTTCCTGGGCAAGGTCTCACATGCCCAAGTGACCCAACAACCCTTAAATATCACAGCACAGAAACTCTCTTGGGCTTCAAATACAGCTTTTACATTTTTTTAATCTAAAATCAAATTGCTATATTTAACTAAACTGCCTCATTTTGTATATATGTTAAACTCTATAAGCTGTGACCAAATTGGAGGATTCTACTAACTAAAACTGGGAACCTCTCAGCAAGATAGGATTTCTTGGGCAAGCCCAGGCCCTACAAGAAAGACTTTCCTTCCTATCAGCACAGTCAGTATACCTGATCCCTACAACAGCTAATCACCCCGATTCATCTCTGCCATCTTTAACTCATCTGCACACTGTTACCGGCCACATCAAGTAAAACAATGCCTTTTATTGTATTAATTCCCTCCTCAAAAACTTCCCACTTGAGGGCCGGCCCGGTGGCTCACTGGATAAGTGTGCTGCTTGGGAAGCGCGGCGGCGCTCCCGCCCGAGGGTTCGGATCCCACATACAGACCGGTTCCCGCTCACTGGCTGAGCGAGGCGCGGGAGCAGCGCCGAGGGTTGCGATCCTGTTGCCGGTCCCCGGTCCGGTACGGGGGCAACACTGAGGGTTGCGATCCGTTGCCGGACACGGAAAAAGATAAAAGACAAAAAAAAAAAACTTCCCACTTGAAATTCAACTTTCAAGAGCCACCACAGGACCGAGCCCATGGCGCACTCGGGAGAGTGTGGCGCTGGGAGCGCAGCAGCGCTCCCGCCACAGGTTCGGATCCTATATAGGGATGACCGGTGCGCTCACTGGCTGAGCGCGGTGCAGCCGGTCTCAAAAAGAACAAAAAAAAAAAAGAGCCACCACAATCTGGCCCTACTTCCCATCATTTATTTCACTAGTTTTCATTTGGTATTCTTGAGTGAGGAATTGACATAATGAAACATTTTTTAGAAAAGGTAAACTGCTCATAACAAGGATGAATTGAAAGGGAAAATAGAGACAGGAAGGAGACTTGTAATAGTGGATGGTAACCTTCAACAGAGCGGTTTCAGGAGAGTATTATATACAAGTTTAGATAACAAAAACAGACTGAATAGACAAGAAAATGGAACATTTGTGGGTAGTGAAATTTACCCTGACAAAATGAAGGTGATTTTCTAATTAGAATTGAACTTATATTAGAAATAATTCTAATAAGTTTGAAATTTTCAAGGTTTTTTTGTTTTGTTTTATTGGCAGCTTGCCAGTATGGGGATCAGAACTCTTGACCTTGGTATTACCAGCACCATGGTCTGCCAAGTAAAGTTTTGAAGTTTTAAAACTAAGAAGTTACAGTATTAATATAAAGAATTTGGTAACACCAGGATCAAGGATTCGGATCCCTATACCGGCCAGCCAACAAGAAAAAAAAAGAGCAAAAAAGAATTTTGACACTGTTGAGCTAGGGCTGGGTATGGAGCTCACAGACCCCTCAAGCCCGTTGTCCAGACTTGTCACAAACCCTTCACACGCAGGTCTACAAGCTAGGTAACCAGCAAAAAGGTCATTGGACCTGTAGGTTTGAAAGCATGGCCGCGCAGGGGAGACACCAGAGGCAGTAAATGCTAGCCAAGTGGCAGTGCCGTGTGTGTGCCACTGACTCCACCCACACAAAACTTATTTACAAAGAATGTGCCACACCACTCTCAACCAGACTTAAGGTGAGGGGGGCCTGATTAAACTATTCTATTTTCCCAACAGACACTGTAAAGATTTAGAAAATGAGCCAATTTTTTTTTTACAGTAAAAAATCTTTCTGCAAAGGTTTAGGTGCATAAAGTTGAACATTTCCTTCCTTCATTAGTATTCATTAGTAGATTCTTAGGGTCCTGCTTCCTAATCTATGACCTATGAAATATCTGCTCACTGTCTATCTAGAAGCCCCAAATAAGCATTAACTTCCCTCATTATTATTCATTATCATCATCATTATTATCATCTTCTGTTATGTGGTAGGCTTTGTAAGAACTACTCTACGTATATTAGCTCTAAATTTCACAAAATCCCTGCAAGTAGATCTCAAATGGTGATGTTATGGTTGCCAGATAAAATACAGGACATCAAGTTATATTTGAATTTCAAATAAAAAACGAAAAATATTTTAGTATAAATATGTCCAAAATATACATATATATTGCAATATATACATCGTATGCAATATTTGCAATACTTACATGCAATATTTGGAACATACACTAAAAGTGTATCGTTTATTAGAGATTCAAATTTAACGGGGTGTCCTATTTTTATTTGCATTTGTATTTAATTTGCTAATTTCTGGCAACCTGACAAGGTCAGTAATTTATCCAAGGACAGACAAAATTTTGAATCCGTATGCAACCATATATTAACCTTTCCAATAAATGAATTAGAAATATGAGCTGCACATTTTTTCTGCTTATAGCCTTAATGGGTACAAACATACTTTAAAAAGTTTGTGGAAAAATAGGATTAAAAAATAATGCAAATCTTTCCATGAACTTTTGGAAGATCCGTGTGTGTGTGTGTGTGTGTGTGTGTGTGTGTGTGTGTGTGTGTGTGTGTGTGTGTGACGGCTGGCCAATAAGGGAATCCAAACCCTTAACCTTCATGCTGTAACACCATACTTAACCAACTGAGCTAACCAGCCAGCCCATTTTTGTGTCTAGAAGGAATTCTCGAAGGATCCACCACAAATTATTAACTGTGGTTACCTGCAAGAAGGCCAAAGGGAAGTAAATTGATGAGCAACAGGGATGGGGAGAAACTTTTTTTTTGGTTGTTGGTAGAGGGATCTGAACCCTTGACCTTGGTGTTACCAGCACCACACTCTCTCAAGTGAGCCACCGGCAAGCCCTGAGGAACTTTTTGCTGAACACATTTATATATATATATTTTTTTATCATATAAATGTACTGCCTGTTCAAAATACACTTTAAAAGGAAACAAATATTAGTTTTTCCATAATGACAGCAGAAAAGAAATTATTACTAGAGTGTCTATGGCTAACAAAAAGGCCCGATAGTAACTAGAACCTGAAATGCACAACAATCAATGGAAAGAAACCGCATGAGGAATGCTTGTGAATAATTATATTTGAATCAGAATGGTAAAGGTGATGTTGCTTTACTAGCCACCAACTAGTACACCTGGCTAATGGAAAGATATCTGAGACATAAAGTTTTTCTGGGTTTTTTTTAAGCAAGTTACAGTATACTATGATCCCAGTTTTTAAAAGCAATTATATAAGGGGAGAAATATGGAAAAATTTTAACCAACTGTGAACCATGGAGACATTTGGCTATTTAACATAATGAATGAGCACTGGGCTCCAAAGCCTGACCATGGATGAATCCCAGTGTTGTCTCTTACCAGCTGTAT